CCAAACGCCCCCTTAGAGTTAACAATGATATAAATTCTTGACAACCTAGTGATTAACTGTCTTTCTTATTTGAAAATTTTTGCAAACCCGTTTATTATGGAGAGTACAAGTGTTGGGGACCTGGGGCAAGTTCTTCTGGTCGAGCCAAATTTGCCAGGATGCTATCTGATGAAGAAGCACAATCGTTTCTGAGCGCAACTTTCCTCAATGGAAACAGCTGGATTCTTCCGCCTCCTAAGGTGTGAACTTATTCATCATTAGATACAACCAAGAAGAATATTTTGTTCAAGATAAATTATACCATAACAATTGGTAGGAATGGGATATATATGCGTGGACCCTTAGATAAAAGAAGATATTCATTAATATTTTGTGTTCTTATTTAAGATAAGACTTCATCCAATTATAGTACTTAGTTTGATCCGTCGTTGGTAATTACGACCCTTTCCATATTCTTATGTCAAAACTTTGTATAAATTCTTTCAATCGAATACATCACAACTGTTTCTTATGTTTAATTAATAAGTTTTATTACATAACAAAAACTCGACTAAATATTCAGACTTAATAAAGAGATGTGCTTAATATGTTATATTGACCTCAAAGTTATTTTATTTAGTAGTGGTAACGGTAATGTTTTTATAAACTTTCATAAAATGTTTAACTTTTAATTATTTTATTCAGCAGTCACTTTGTGAAGCACAAAGATACGAGTATCGCATGGCTTCCTTCCCATCTCTTTGAGGTTTTAAATTTAACTAAGTTAGGGAAATTTGTCTTTTCTATTACCTAATCAATTTAAAGAACAAATAATAAAGTTTCTCCATTTGTCTCTGGACCACATTAAGTTAACTACCATATTAAGCCATAGGAAACTTTCTTGTGGCTCTTTCATCACCCATAAATAATTGTAGCTAGACGCTCGTGCACTGCGTAACAAACATATGTTTGTATTTATTCTTAGGCTTAAGTTTTTTTTACCTTTGATTTTGATTGAGAAACATATGTGCTCCTACGGTGTGAACTTATTCATCATTATATACAAGTAAGAATAATGTTTTATTTAAGAGAAATCATACCATAACAATTGGTTTGATATTGGATACGCATGGACCATTAGATGACGGAGGATAATTATTCATATGTTGTATTTTGATTCAAAATTAGATTTTATCCAATTATAATACTTAGTTTGATAGGTTGTTGGGAGTTATAAAATTCTCCCTTCTTATTTCTTATGTCAAAACTTTGTAAAAATTCTTTAAATGGAATATATCACAGATTTTTCTTACGTTTAATTAAGAAGCTTTATTACATAATGAAAACTCGGCTAAATATTCAAACTTTACGAAGAGATACACTTAATATGTTATTTTGACCTTTAATGTGTTTGGTTTGGGAAATGTTGCATAACTGGGAATGTTATATTAAAGAGAAGATAAATTATCTTAAAGATTACTAGAAATGTTATATTAAAAGTGTTTGGTCAGATTGAAATAAATTTGTGGGTATTTTTAACCCCCAACATTTGAGATTTGGCTAAAACACTCCCACCATAATAAAAGTTTAAAAATTAGCCAAAACACCCTCACCCACCCAAAAGGGCTACTGACCGCCGCCAGAAGTCACTAGAATGGAGCATGACCGACCAAATCGTGTGCTGATTTGGCCTTTTTCGGCTAGATCAATAGTAAAAAAACGGCCAGATGGCCATGGATCTAGCCAGAAACAACCAAAACTATTCTGGCCATTTTTTACCAGATCCATGGCCGTTAACGGCCAAATCATGGATCGGGTCGTGTTTCCCTCCACATCCATTGATCGGGCTGGCTAGAATCGATCTTGCCAAAAACGGCCAGATCCACGTCCATCTAGTTGTTTACGGCCAAATCAAAGCACGACCAACCAAATCCGATCAATCGTGTGCCGTTCTAGTAATTGTCGATAGTGGTGGCTAGCAGCTGGCAGTCCTCTTGGGTGGATGGGCGTGTTATGGCAGGGTTCATGTAAATTGTTTTTAAAAAAATGGGAGGCCATTACTGTCCAAAAAAATTATTAATTAGGGATAAAATCATAACAAAATTAAGATTATTAAGTAATCTTAGAATACCTAAGAAAATTATGGTATTTAGATTACCCCCCATATAACCAATAGTAATCACTATTGGTATTGGAAGATTACTAGAATATTTTATTACTTGACAATCAAATATGATAATATCAGTAACATAATATGACATTACTAGAGTAATGGAAGGTAACCTCCAACCAAACGAACCCTTGGATTACTCCCCTTAGTTTGAAAAAACACATAATGTTACTCTCATCTTTTAAATTCAAATGTTAACTTTAACGGGAGAATGGCATTCTCATCATTTCGTATAAAATACATAGGGATATTATCATTGAGGATACACATATTTACTAGATTATCAATAAGAGGACACAAGTTTTAAAAATATTATAAAAATAAGGGCATTCTTGTTTTAGAATAATTCCTATTCAGTAGGAGATTTGTTTGAGTTTGATTAGGCAAGAAAAATTCATTTTTCTTTCCGTACTTGATTAGGAGTAGAAGTTATTTTCTTGTATCAAATGAGTTAAACTTTGATAAATAAAGTATGTGAGTTCATAGTTTTCTTCAATAAAAGTGCTTAGTTTTGGCTGCCAATTCCAACAAAATCCCAGGTTATCACCCCTGGTTTCATAAATTCCAAATTCTCACCCTTAAATTAACAAAAAAAAGTTTGATTTAACAGATAAAGGGTAAAATGGTCATTTACTCTGTAATAAATATGAAATAAAAATAAAAATTTCAAAAAAAAAAAACCCTTCATATTTCAAATTTCTCTCGCAAGTACCCTTTCTCTAACATTTCTCTCATGGCGGCCAAATTTGGCCTTTGCATGGGTCAAAAAGCAACGGTCAAATGGCTGTTTCTTGGCCCTTGCAATGGCAAGATTTTGGCCACTGCGTGAGGGCTTTGTGGCTCCAAAATTTAGCCGCCATGAGACCCTCACGCAGTGACCAAAATGCGGCCACCGCGAGGGCTAAGAAGCAACGACCAAATGGTTGTTTCTTGGCCCTCACGGTGGCCAGATTTTGCCTGTCGCATGAGGGCCTCGTGGTAGCTAGGAATCTAAGCGCGCGTGCAGTGGGTTGTGTGCACAGCTGCCTGTGCGTGCGATGGACTAGCGCATAGGGGGAGATATGCTTAGGTGTTGGTTGGGGCAAAAGGTCGAGCAGGTGGTGGGTGTAGTCAAAGGTAGGTGGTTTTTGCTGGCCAGAGACGGGAAAACGGCAAAAAAAAAAAAAAAAAAAAAAAAAATACAAAATCAACAACAACAAGAAACACTTCCATAAACAATCAATTTCTCTTCAACCAAGCTTCAAACAAACTCCAATTGAAAACCCAATTTCAACTGTTGTGCAAGTCGTTGGGGAAATGGTGGGTGACAACCAACTAGCAATCACAACTTGGGGTGGTGGGCGTTTTAGAGAGGAGATGCCGATAGATCAAAAGGCGGTGTTCGGATAGGTTTTCATTGCTGGAATCTACCAGAAATTGGCAAGAAGTACACGATTTCACTAAGCAGCGGCAGGTGATTTGGAGGTGTAGAAGGGTGGAATGATAGGAGTTTTGATAAGGGAGGTGAGGGGATGTGTTTGGTGGTGTCGGGGAATTCCAACGATGGTGGAATCAGGCCAATATGGCCTAAAAAATGACAATCGCACGGTGGACGAGGTCATGGGTGGTGATACGAATCCAGTGCAATTGAGCCAAATTTTAGTCAAAAGGGGATTGGGGGAGTTCGAACGATGCTAGGGGAGTGATTCCTACCGAGTTTGGTGGATTTTCCAATGAGGAAGCAACCAAAATGGCCGTCAGAAATTATGAATCCATGGTTGGGTTTTGTCAAGGGCAATAGCGTAATAGCACTCAATAGTCACTCACGACGTTCATTTAAGGGTGGGAATATGGGATTTATGAAACCAGGACTGGTAACTGAATTTGGCTAAACCTTAGGTGGGAACAGTCGTTTACTCTTTAGCTTTAGTGGGCATGCCGGTTATCAATAGTTTAATAACTTTCCCTCTTAGGCTTCTTGGGAATTTGGGTTACCATATTTGGGCTTTTGTGTATTGGACTTATGATTCATTATGGGCCTTTTATTTTTGTCCAACAATGTTTAATCTGAATTCATATTTTTTTCATTAATTTAAATATTTTTATAGAGGGTTATTATTATTCCATATACACATATTTAGAAAACTTAACAAAAAGGACGCAATTCTTTTTTCCTATCAATGAGAGGACAGTTAACTATACATAAGTATTAAAGTTAAAGTTAACTATACATAAGTATTAAAGTTAACTATGCATAAGGTATTTTGGTCTTTGACTTGATAATCCTATATTTGCATGTAAAAACACTTAAAAAGTTTTATAAAAAGAATTGAAAATTGAATAAAACAATTTGAAAAAGTTTTAGAAAAAAACTTTTAAAATAACAAAATTTTAAAATCTGAACAAATAAAATGAAATGATTGAAAATTAAAACAAATAAAAATAAAATAATGAGAAAATTTGAAATAAAAATAAAAAATTTTGAAAAATTTGGAACAGAAATTTTAGAAATAAGATAGTATGAAAGAAATGAAAATCTTACTTTAAAAATATAAAAAAATGTAAATAAAATAATTTGAAAATGTAAATAAAATATAAAATTTTGAATTATAAAAAATTCCGAAAATGGAAAGAGAATCTGAAAAATTGGGAGATTTTTTTTTCGGAGTAACTGAAATAAAAAATCTGAGAAAACTGAAAATAATTTGAAAAAAATAAAAAGAATAAAAAAAATCTCGTGGCATAAGTGTAAACTCTACGTGGCCGTGCCGGTCATTGATGATCACTAACCCAAGAACACCGGTATCTAATCACTATTTGCTTCAACTTTTATAAATAAATTAAAAATAAGTAAAAATTCGCAGAATCGCAGTTCACTCTTTTCCAAGAGGAAGCTACCATGGAAAGCGAACCCATCTCCAACGATCAAAAACAGCAGCAACAACAAGAGCCGATGGAGTGGGCCCCTACAGCGTGGGCCCACCTCTCCGCAGTCCGGAACCAATCGCCGCTCATTCAGTGTATCACCAACTATGTCTCCATGGATTTAGTGGCTAATACTCTTCTCTCCGCCGGTGCATCACCCGCGATGCTCCACTCCGTCGAAGAAATCCCGGACTTCACTCCTCACATCCACGCGCTCTACATCAACGTCGGCACTCTCTCCCCCGACTGGCTACCGGCAATGAAGGTTGCAGCCGAGTTGGCATCGAAGTCGGGTAAGCCCTGGGTTCTTGACCCAGTTGCTGCCGGCGCTTCCGGTTTCCGGTTGAAGGCTTGCTTGGAACTCGTGGGCCTGAAGCCTACCATCATTAGAGGAAATGCCTCCGAGATCATCGCGCTTTCTAATGCCTCTGTGGGCCCCACTAAGGTAATTTCAATTTTATAATTTAAAAGAATTTTATAATTGGAGTCAAAATGAAGTGAAAAATGTTTGAAATGTTGAATTTTTAATTGATGAATGATTCAAGGTTTGTGCCTAAGTGTGTAAATCAAATGTTTAAGTTACCCTTATAGCTGAAATTGGGTTTGGTTTTAAGGGAGTAGACAGCTCTCATGAGTCGATGGACGCGGTGGATGCAGCGAAGAGGTTGGCTGAAGCAGGTGGGAACATAGTTGCTGTGTCTGGAGTTGTTGACATTATAACTGATGGGAAGAGAATAGTTGGTGTTCACAATGGGGTGCCCATGATGCAAAAGATTACTGCAACTGGATGTTCAGTCACTGCTCTAATTGCGGCTTTTGTTGCTGTTGATCCTTCGCATGCTTTTGAAGCCACAGCTTCGGCATTATCCGTGTTTGGTATTGCTGGTGAGATGGGGATGGACATCGCAAAAGGTCCTGCTTCATTGCGAATACACATGATAGATTCTCTCTATGGACTTGATCAAGCAGCTATGCTTTCTCGCGTTCACATCAGGAGTTTGCCATGATAATTGAGGAGACATGTAAATGATATGGATCAGCGATGATTTATTTGAGTTGTACATAACGCTCTTATGTTGAGCCAAAAGAGGACTAATCAATAAGGATGTTGAACACTATGCACACAATAAATTTCTGGGATATACCGGCCAGGGATGGCCACAAGCATCTATGATCCAGTGTCCAGAGCCCAAATTTTCGTTTTTCAGAAATGTCAGAAAAGATCATAGCTTTCATTATCATTTTTTTTAATGGGGTGATGACATAGTTAATCACTGTTATTCGAAATCTGGTATAGACATAATTAGCATGCTATGATGGATATATTCATCTTTGCTGACAAATCAAGTAGGATGATGACTCTGTTCTCAATGACATGATCACATTTCTGCATATGTAAGAGATCATAGAAACAGACAGATTGCTAAAATTATAACATACACTGACTCATAATAGCCATATTGACAGAATGAAAATGTAAAAAACCATGCTCACATTCATCTTCACACCAACAGATGCACATGTAATCTTAAGTTCTTTTACATTTTCAGTATTTGAGATGGACAGTGAATCTCAGCAATGCTTCCGCACCATCTATGACATGTTGACCAGGTGGTATGAGAGGTCGCACCTCAGCAAGCCCACGAGCATTCTTGAACTTTCCGGTACCACCAGTTACTGACAAATAAGACATGGTACCTCCAATCTTGTATACACCATAGAAGTTGAGGCTGTCACCGTACTCCCCTTCTTCAATCATAGCTGTAAATGCCATCATCTGTGTTGTCCCATCTGCAGAGCTTGCCAGATAAACTCCTTGAGCTTTCCCTAGTCGCTGTGTCCCCAACTCAGGACTAGAGGTTAGTATGTCATCTATGACGGTAATTGTTCCGAAACCTAGTCCCAAGCCATCTGCTCCTAGTTGGGTCTGAATGTTGCCATTTTGGTTCTGCTGATTCTGTATTCCAGCAAAATTTGTCCCAGCCAAGCCAGTTCCCAGTGGGATGCCGTTGACACCATTAACTGTCGGAATGGCACCATTAGCATTGGGGATGGCAACCCCGTCTTCTGGGGGAAGGAATCCTATCGACCTGGCAAAGGGTACCTGACCATTGTAGATGTTTCCTAGCAAGCCTGTGATTGGCCTTGCCGTTGGGTTACTGCCTCCAAGTATGTCATGCATATAAAACTCAATGGGTTCTTCTCCGCCAACCGAGGCAGGGTCAACTGCTGACACAAATATCATGATGTTTGCTACTACAAGTAGCAGAGTAATGAAACTAGATGGTGATAATTGCTTTAACATCTTGTAGTGTGCGTATCTGAGGCTTTAAGATCTCTAAGAAATGAAGGCTGAGGGTTTCTGGATGAGGATGCAAGTAATTGGCTAATGTGGTCCTTAAATAGAGAGGCTACAATAAGACTGAGATGGAGTTGTTGGGAATTCTGAAGTTAGTGAAGTTGTTCAAACTATATTAGTTATGAGATGTTTAATCATTTTGTTCCTGTTCACATTCCCCGTTGATTCTTTCTTCTTTAAAAGAAAATTTGTGGCATGCATGGTGGGTTTGGTATGTTATGAGTTCCCCCAGTATCATCCTGTAACTGTAATACTTTAAAGTTGAAATTTGGAAGACCCGGCATGTAAAGTGTAAACTCTAAACTGGAGCTGGAAAAATGCTAGCAGCACTGCTTTTTCGATACTGATGATAATTGATAATAAATATTTCATTTCATTTGAATATCTCATCCAATGATACTCTATTTCCCAATTTTAGTTTTCAGCATTTCTAGTTTAAGTAAAACATAACTTGTAAATATCTTTAATGAGTATTCTTGTACTTTATTGAAGCGACAAAATTATGTGAGTGTGTGGAGAAGAAGTAATTTTAGCTTTAATTTCCATCAAATAGCTTACTTATGAATTACATATTGTAGAAAGGATTCTCTTCATTGGAGTTGGTGGGTGGTGGTGGTTTGACGGAGTGGATAACTGTTCATAACTTGGAGTAGGTGACTGTTTCCATATTTGCAATGACTGATAGACCTTGTAAACTATTACTTTGCACTTTTTAATCACTTGAACAATCTGTGAAAAGTTTTAATCACAGTTCATATGCTGGTTTATATGTATAGTTGAAGTAATTGAGTGATTGTATATATCAACTGAAAGTCTATTTTTCCCCGCGACAATAAGAAAAAGAGATCAGGCTCAAAATTTAGTTCCAGGATGAGGCTTTGCTTATTTCCATAGTGTCCAACGTTCCAACCTTGATTTCAATTCATTAATAATTCTAGGTCTTGTCTTTCTGAAAGAGAGTAGCAATTTTCTTTCAGGAATTAGTTAATGACTTTCTCTCAACAGATGATAAATCATTTGAATTGCTGGCTGCTCTTATTCGGTGGCAATCTTTGTTGACTATAAAGAATAAGTAAGATTTAGTTTTTAGTTGACGGGGGAGTCTGTGGAGGGTTCTGCATAATATTTGGCTTTTGCGTATTAAGATTAAAATCCTTGATTATTTCATAGAAACACCACTGAGAATGATTCCAGAGGGAGAATTTATATTCCAAAATTAAATTTCAATAAAATGCTTAAAATATTTCTGTTACAGAATTACAAATGCAAGGCTAAAAACTCGAAAACATTGATTCGCTGCTACCAGATTGACAAATAACCAATGCCAGGTTCATTTTTCATTTCACACAAAGGATTCACATTTGCTCTGTGTTCAATGCCACTCTCAGTAGCTTAGATGGACAGTGATTCTCAGCAATGTCTCTGCACCATCAGTAACATGTTGGCCGGGAGGTATAAGCGCCCTCACCTCAGCGAACCCGCTTGCATTCTTGAACTTACCAGTCCCACCCGTCACTGACAAACGTGACAGGGGGCTGCCAATCTTGAATATGCCATAGAAGTTAAGGCTATCACCATATTCACCTCCTTCAATCATAACAGTGAATGCCATCATCTGTGTAGTTCCATCTGCAGAGCTCGCCACATAAACGCCTTGAGCTTTCCCTAGTACCTGTGATCCCAACTCAGGACTAGAGGTTAGTATGTCATCAATGACAGTGATAGTCCCAAAGCCCAGTCCTAGTCCATCTGGTCCCAGTTGTATTTGCGGATTACCATTGTTTATTCCTGAAAAAGTTGTACCAGCTAAACCAGTTCCTAATGGAATGCCATTGACACCATTAACAGTCGGAATGGCACCATTGGCATTGGGAATGGCTACCCCATCTTTCGGGGGACGGAATCCTAATGGCCTCGCAAAGGGCACTTGACCATTGAATATGTTTCCTAGCAAGCCAGTTATTGGCCTAGCTGTTGGGTTGACGCCTCCAAGAATGTCATGCATGTATAACTCAAGAATTGGTTCTTCTCCAGTTGCGGTTTCAGGGTTAACTGCAGCCACGAATATTGCAGCTTGCATTTGAGCAATCATCATTGCAAGGAGTATGAAAGCTGATAAACCCTTGAACATCTTGAATGTATGTGTTATATTATGATAAATTGATAGTTCTATGTGTTTAGTCTCTGAAAGCAACTAGGATTATTGTGCAAAAGGGTTTGAGCTTTGCTCTCTTTATATAGACAAAAAAAGATTTGAGTGGAGCTGCTATATTAGACTAAAGAGGTGGTGGAGTTGTTTGAGTTATATACTATTTATGGGAATTCAAACCATTCTGCAAGGATTATTATAAGCAGTCCACTCTTTTGATTTGACTATGAACACCACGGTGGGTGAATTCTGATGTAATACGTGTTCAGCCTCTGATTTTCAGTCAACTTGAATTATTTGATAAAATCACGTTCAAATGCTTTCCCTTATTGCTGAATCATTATTTGAAAAACTGCAGCGAGAGGTAATAAATTTCTTCAGGTGTGTTGGGTACAACTAAACCAAAATCTTGTTTTTATAGATACTATAAACAATGCCAGTTGACCAAGGATCTATATCAGAGAAAAAAAAAGCATTCAATCAGATAGAACTCAAAATCATTTTCATTATAAATTTTAACAATGAAAGTCTGGAAAAGCTGTAAAAATAAACTAAAAAAAGGGTGATAGGCAATCAGTAGAAGACATTTCATTCTCAATCGGAAAAATTTATTATTTTATTTGTTCATATACAATGGCTTGAAGCTTGAATAATATATGATGAACTCGCTAGTAAAAAATGGAGAAAGAATAGTCAAAATACAAGTGGATAAGGAAGATTGTCAATTAAATCATGGCTGGACCGAGTCATCTCTCTGCTGCATAGGCTCTTGATGATCCATGACTTTGGGTTGTCTCACTACAGGGGAAATTAATTTCCATACTGCATATAATGTTTGAATATGGAAGAGGGGAAAGAAGAGAGCTATGTCAGTGCAGTTCAATTTCATGATCAGTGCAGCTTATAATGTTACATACAAGAATTGAGTTATGTTACCACTGGTTCAAACCATGGTGATAACTTGAAGTTGAAGTCAATGCGTTTTTCTAGTCACATAGAAATGGAAAACAACTTTGTATCCCTGAACATGTACCATATGATCTTTGATTTATCAGCTGAATTTTGGATTTGAACTTTTTTATAACTAGAAAAGGGTATTTCTAATTTCCTTTTAGTGTATATGCTTATGATGCATTATGTGTTAAAGCTACTTCCACTAGGCTAAACTGTAATCAGATAGCATTAAGAAAGCAGAAAAAATTATCATCTTAAACTTGATGTTGCAAGGAAATAAAGCCTCAACTCATGAGTATGCAAGAGACAAGATTTAGCATACATGCAATCTGAAGAGACATAAACAATATACTTACAGTATATAGACGCTGCAAACCACTCGTTCACGACTTTCACCCATGTACTTGCCCAGCCGACATCTATGCTCCATCTGATTGTTTTGAAGAGAGTATGACAGTTTAATGCTTAGTTCAAAAAAAAAAAAAAATAATAAATAAATAAATAGAGGAAAATTGATGCAAATGACTGGAAATACCAGTAATTTTTAGTTCCTTACTTTCTCGCCGAATTTTCAAGATTCCAGCTTATGAATAGCATTCCAAAGTACATGGCTCCCAAAGAGAATATCAGGTGGAAAAATCCATACTTATATGGAATGTCATCCTCCAGGTGAACTTTATCTTTGCGAAACTGGCAGCATTAAGAGTACTCACTACTCATTATCTCTTATCAGTATTAAAAATTAACGGTTACTCTAGCTGTTGTTGGAATGTTTGAAAATCTTTGAGTTGCTGAATACCGAAGAAAAGAAGAGAATATAGAACATAGGCAGAGAGAAAAATCACCTGAAATGATTGTGAATCAATTCCAGTAGAAAAGGTTGCCATGACAATGGCACATATGGCAAGCAGGAAACCCTGGAAAAAGCAAAACAAGAGTGTAGGCAGATTAATAAATATCAAAGATTAATAAATGCTTATGAAGCATCTCTTCTAATACTTCTCTTTTTTGGAAGGACTTCTTTTTGTAAGTGAACACTTGATAGATCCAAGAAAAAGATGACGGCATGAAAATTGTCATTATTATGTTAAACCATGAAGAACTATCAGAGTGTCACTTAGACATGGCTTGGTTTTAAGAAATCAGTGATAGAACAAAATGGAATGAATTTATCTTCATTAAGCTTTCTCTGACCCAAGCTTCATTTTAAGGGATAAATTTACAATTTTTGGGGATGAGGCTTGTACAGTAAATAATAGTGCAGTTGTGAAGGATTTTGCATGCTTGTGTATCAAGGGTGACAGCTAGCTATAAGGTTACAGTTGCACAGAGAACTAATGTATATGAGGCCACTATAAGGTAAAACATCATTTATCTGCTAAAAAACTTTCCACTGATTACAAGAGAAATTCAACCTAGGGAAATTGAAGGGAAAAATGGAAAATTTGTAGCTATTACCAGTATTGTGGTCCAATCACCATTCCCATTCACTTGCTTTTGTACATTGCATTTCTCATTAGCCGGTTCACTGCAAGAGCAAAAGGTAAATCCAGAAAATTAGATTTTAATTCCTTGAGGAGGATACTGTTAATTTTTCTGAATAGTATGTGGACGAATAATGCAGAAAAGTTACTGAAATTTTGACCCAGAGAAAGAACAAACAGTTTTCTGGAAAATATAATTTAAAAAAGCATGCAGAATGAAGATTAATTAATATTTTCCCACTGGCAAGCTAACATTGCTAAAATAAAATATTTATTAAAAGCTTTCCTAAAAACAAGGAAAAGATTCAAATGATTTTGTAGTATCGGCCAACACATATGCACTTAACACAGAAAAATCGAGTTAATGTCCCAAATAAATCCAAATGCTGTTGTTTTCCTTGCTGGTGACTTCGTTTTAGGCATACACTGAAAGATCAATTAAACTGTTCTACAGGATGAGAATATGCATCACTCCATAGTTTGATTTACTTTATTGTTTAGTGAATAAATATGAAATTTTGGAGCATCTTAGAACAATGAGCTAGTTCTCCAAGAACCTCAATTATATTCAATGTTCCAAGTAAAAACAAGGGCTGAAGTGATCCTAACCTTCTAATAGCAGACCAACAGAGGAAAACAAGGTAAGCTGCCATGATTCCTGAAGATAATACACCTCTATTAACCTGTACATGAACAGAATAGATTTACATATATAAGATATTCATAAAGGAGGTCCTCTTCTTATCATTACTCTCTAACTATGTCTTCAATAAACAATCATATATAACACAACTAAGTAGGTTGTTTTGAACACAGGAGTTAAAATTCTGAATATGATTCTGTTATTTATTCCAGAAACATTTTTGAATAATTAAATTTGGGGACAGAAGGAGATGCTCTGAAGAACATACCATTGAGTGCAATGATATGGCCATCATCACCATGAGAAGAATTGCAGTCCATGTAATGAAGAATATGTTGAGAGCACATGCCAGTTTTGAGGCATACAAGTAGTACATTAACACAATTCCCATTGCAGAAGCAATGTAAAAAACTTTTGACATGAATAACCCGAGGGAGCAGCTGCAATATATGAAACGAGATGATACATCACCAACTCCACACTTGGTATCTAAAATAAAAATGAGAAAAAAGAGCCTAAGAAGTTTTCATTTTTCTGGTAAATTATGTTAAAATCCTTTCAATGATTACATTAGGCTCTGCAAATCTGACAAAGGTCCATCAAAAACTGTATGGGAACGATTCCAAATTTTTTCTCAGTATAATATGGCAAGTTTTATGTTGCAGTCATTTTTCAAATCATATGCATGTTCGTTTTGTTTAAGAGGTTAAACCTGATGTTTTTAGACTCTTTCACTTTTTCCCTTGACCTTAATGCATTAGTATGCTAGTCAACAAATAAAGGCTTGAGCTGTGGTAGAGAAACTTGTACCTTTGTTTCCTTTCCTGATCAAGCATCCAGTAGTTATTCCACCATGCAATGAACTCAATCACACTCACAAGTTGGAGAGCAAGAAAAATCCTAGATCATGAAAAACAGTAAAAGGAGGATTAATCATTTGACACACTCCTTAAAGATAGCAAGTAAATATGAAACTGTTTCCTTAATGGTGACAGAGTAAGTTTATTATCTCTTTCCCATTGTACCAAAATCTTCAAGTTCACTAAATATTTACTGAGAATGTATTTTGGGGTGCTTCTTTTTACTTCTCAGTTTTAAGGGGTTTTAGGGGCTGTAATTCTTTTTCTTTTAGCAGGGGAAGAATGGATAATTTATTAGATGAGCAATGCAGAAGAGTAAAAACTTTAGTTTGTTCCATGGTACAAGATATGAGAATACAAAAGTGCAAAACTACACTGGAACACAAATTACAAAGGAAGCAGTAAAAACACTAGATGCAATTCAGGAGATGATGTGAAACTATGAAATTGCTATATAATTGGTCTTTTGTTTTCTGCAATGATATCTGAAGCTATATATTTGTTTTGCTTAAACTGGCATGGTGGTATAGGCTAAGGTGGTAAATTCAGTTAGGTAACTTAATTCAAAGTAGGTGCAGTAATATATACAATTATTTGAGATTACATCTTTAGATACTAAATTTCTTTTAACAAAGTATATGAAGCTTACCCAGCACCAACACGAGCAAGTTCACCTGCAACAGATAGCAATGCTTTTAAATTTAAGCAGGCAAAGTAGATGCAGTCAACATTAAATTTGAGCAAAAGAATTAATATTTCAATCTTAGTAGGCACCTTTCAGAACTAGAGCATAAAGAGGAAGCTCAAATGGCTCAAGTTACACTCTTTGTCAATTGTCTAATGAGGGAGTAAAGATACCTTTAAGATAATTTGTAAACATTTGCAACTGGCCCTCAAGTTATAACTTACCATATAAGTGGATGTAAACCGAATTGAAGAAAAATGGAACCGCTATGGATATGATCAACAGGATAAACTTCAATGTCCACCACCCTGTATGCCATTTACTGCGAGCTTCATACAATTTTTGTGTATAACATGTACAGAGAAACATCAAGAAGAAAAATATCTGACCTCATTGTCAAGGATTTAAACTTCAAGAAAATATAAACAAATCAGAGACTTGCAGGCATCTTGTGGGAAAATTCAGAATCAGGTTAGAGAGGGTACTTATAACACTGCCCGTTTCTCAATTCCGAAGATAGAAATCTAATTACTCAAAAGTCAAATATTAAAAAAAAAAGTATTGAAAGAAGAAATGTATTTTCTGTTTCTGTTAATAAGAAGGATACGAAACATCCTAAACTCACACGAAGTACTCCTAGCGTATGAAAGCATTCACGACCCCCAGCTCCGCAAGATTTTAGATCTGCAATAGAATTTTCCCACAAGCAAGACAACAAGAATATCAGCAAGTTTTCCTTTCATTTTCCAACCGTATTCTAATTTGCTTAGGAGATTTGTGCAACAGATACATGTAATATAAGAATTTCATTCAGCAGTTAAAATTTCCGGATGGAGTTTAGTGACAAAAATTTCTAAATAAAATGTTTAGAAGCATTGTTTCCTAGTTACATAATTGTTGAACAACCTCATTGTAATGAAATACAACTGGTAGAAGTATAATTTTTATGCTACATTATTACCAAAGCAAAGAAACAGTATTCCTGATGAAATGTCAGCTCTTATCATTTAATATATGATCTTTTAACATAATTATAAATGAAATTTCAGATTCAAAAATCATATTTCTGCAGTTTTGAAAGGAAGAACAGTAACTCACAATGAAGTTGAGGTAAAACCTTTTGCCCGTAGTCACGAATAAACCAAGCAATAAGATTTATTATTAGGAATATAATGCCATAAAAATAACGAACTTGAAGAGATTTCTTCTTTTCTGCTGAGCAGTTAACGCTCTTTCGCTCTGATGATCCAGTTGCCTCTTCATGATGAACAATCTCAGAGTTGCTTGATCTTATATGTAAAGCTCCATCTTCAATTGCTTCGGCAGACCTACTCATTCTACAATTTCAAGCCCAAAAATCAATTGATTAACTTAAATAACAAATTTGAAAGTTGTAACTTGACTTTACACTCTGTTCTTCCAAAATGGTGGGAAGATTACCACAATATGATCTTTTCAAAAAGAACCCCTCAATGTGAGTATTTATAACAACTCATAGCAAACCATTTAATAGCGACTTTTCCAAGCATTAACAATTGAGTTGTTAAAATTACACTGAGCAGCATTCAAATCCTAACCACCAAGCAATATGGAAAATTTTCAGCATCGGTTATTAAGTTGTTAAAATTACACTCAGAAGAACCAAACCAATTTCCCCCCCTTCTTTTCTCTAATGTGCATCTAAAGAGCATTGCAAACCAGTTACCCATGGGGTCCCGCCTTAAATTCTTACCATTGACCAAAAGGAGTTGGGAAAATTCACAAAATTTGTCAATCTGGTCGAACAAATTTTCCAGTTGAACAAGACTTTTCTTTCATTTCCCAGTCATGTTTATGTTAGGCAGAGCGCCAACTTCTGAAGACTGCCTAAAAGAACCAAAACTCCAATATACAACAATGAAAATAAATGACCCCAAAAAGCATAATAATGGAGAAGCTAATCAAAATATTTATGAAACTTAATAATGCTGAAAGCCTGAAAATGTTCATGTGCACAAGAGAATGAAGAAAGAAATGAGCAGCTGAAGTAAATTTCTAACCTTTCCTTCCTTGTGAGAAGTGTTGTTTGAGCCTAGCTTTGAGGCTTAACCCTCCTCAGGAGGATCAATGTGAATGAAGCTCTTTTTGTTCAATCCCTTTAAGAGATTGAGACTGAGTTCACCAACTTATAGTGAAGTAGAGTTTAGAAATTCCCACTCAAAGATGGTTTAGTGCATAGTAATGTAATTAAACTGGTTGTTGGGCTCGTTCATAGCCGTTAGATCTTTGGTTTGATGCCTTCATTCATGTCCTTTTTCATGATGCCATGATACCTTCATTGATAATTCTTGGTAATTCTCAAGTTTTTAGTATGTTTCTGGCAGTTTTTGATATAGAATTGCTTGTCTGATAAATAAGAATTAGTCATAAGCACAGGTAGACATTAATCTACTATTATATTTACTCTTTTTGTTTCTTTTCACTTAGTTTCTTTCTCACTTTTTGACTTTTGGATGAAGCATTTGACATCCACAGTTGTCCCATCTAGCTTTTTCTTTCTTTAATTAACCTCTTCCAAATAAGCAAGTACATATAAATTACAAGACGATATTAAACCCAACAAGAAATCCAGTATTCAGTAATCGCTTGAGTATTAATATTGAACAAAAAAGAAGCAACTTCGGTGACTAATCATTTCCCAGATACATGCACTAGAATTTAGCAGAAATCAAAAGAGCAAAGGGAAAACTAGAAGATGAAAGTTTTCTGTACAAATATTAATGCAGAAGCATTAAGCATAGGCCAGAACTGGAAAGTTGAAGGTTAGAGACAAACAAAGCAGACAAACTAAAGAGGCCTCATTTATAAAATCAATAAACCAACCCTAGTAGTAGGCTCCAGAATCAGAATTAATGGCAGCGTGTGGGTCCTGAATTACCACGCGGTTGATATAGTAATGGAGGCTCTACTGACCGTTTCTAAAGAAATTAGCATGGTGGCGCCTTCTCCAGACTATTTGAAATGCTGTTGTCCACAAGCAAGCTATTATATTTTTTTATAAAATTGTTTGTCTTTATCTTTGTTATTGAATTGCAGGGGGGATAAGGTTTGGTGAAATTTGGCAAGAATAATTAATGCAAGAGAAGAGGAAGTTTTCTTTTACAAATCCATTCTGTTTCTGCCTCGTGTTCATATAAATTACTTTATTGGTTGGAGAATCAGAATAAGAATGTATTGCAGAATCAGAATCAAGTTAGGGTTTTCAACAAAATCAAAGCAGTTTGTTGAGAAAAAGTATGTTGATAATGAAGTGAACAATACTAGACAATGATTGAAATTGTCCACTGTGTTAGATGATACTGAAAACATGTTGAATACTATTACACACGCTAAACTAGTTTAATAAAAGAAATTAATTGCCTGAGATTCTTGATGAAGTAGGTTAGGATGAAATATTAGATGAGTCATTGTTGAGAAACAGGTGTCGGTTAAATAAATTTTGATAAAATCTCATAAATGTTTAATGTGAAACTTAATTTGTTTTTATGTCTACCGTAATATAGATATCAGTTTTAACTTTGTGGACATAAGATATCTTAACCAAGGTTTAAAACTTGGGCCAGGGTGAAACCCGACAAAATGGCAAAATCCTGGGTTGATCGGTTAAACCAGTTAGACAAACAAGTAAAAAAAAAAAAAAAAAAAAATAAAAAAAAAAAAAAAACAACAAAAAAAATAAAAAAAAATAAAAAAAAATATAAAAAAATAAAAAAAAAAAAAAAAAAACAAAAAAAAAAACGACAAAAAAAACAAAAAAAAAAAAATAAAAAAAATAAACAACAAAAACAAAAAACAAAAAAACAATAAAAACAAACACCTAAACAAAAAAAAAAAAACCCAACACACAAAAAACACACAAATAAAAAAAAACAACAAAAAAAAACAAAAAATAAAATAAAAAAATTTTTGAAAATTTAAATCAATAAAAAAAAAAAAAATAACCAAAATTAAAATCATTAAACAAAAAAAAACAAAAACATCAACAAAAAAAACAACAAAAAAACAAAAAAAACTAAAAAAAAAAAAAAAATTTAAAAAGAATAAAAAAAATAATAAAAAAAAAAAAAAAAAACAAAAAAAACAAAAAAAACAGATTAAACCAAAAAGAAGAAAAGAAATTTTAAAAAATAAAGAAATGCTAAGAAAAAAAGACAAGAAAAAAAAAAAGAAGAAAAAAAAAAAAAGAAAAAAAAAAAAAATAAAAAAAAAGAAATTAAAAATTAAAAAATTGAAAAATTGAAAAAAAATTAATAAAATATACAAGAATAATAAAAAAGAAAAAAAAAAAAAAAAAAAAAAAAATATAAAAAATAAAAGAAAAATAAAAAAAAAATAAAAACAAAAGAAAAGAAAAAAAGTAAAAAAAAAAAAAAAGAAAAGCAAAGGAAAAAAGAACAAAAAAAAAAAAAAATAAAAAAAACAGAAAAGAAAGAAAAAAAAAAAAAAAAAAAAAAAAAAAAAATAAAAAAATCAAAAAAAAGGACTCATGGAAAACAAAAAAAAAATAAAATTATAAAAAATATAAGAAAATATATAGAATATATGAAAATAAGATATATAAATTAAATCAATAAAAAAATATAAGGTTATATAATTAAATTTTAAAAATTATAATTATCGGGTTTACCTTAAAAAAAAAAAAAAAAAAAAATGCAAACGTGCAAGAAAAACTTTTTTACCTCTCAGCACCTCTCTTCATTTCTCTTTAATTTCGTAAAATTACAAATGGGTGGTAGATATAAAGAATCACAGCTTAATGAGATTAATAAGAGAGAACTCATGAAACATTTTTTCATAAAATTGAAAGGTAATTAAATTAGAGACTAAATTGCCGAACTAACAAAATATAATTAATAATATTTTAGAGGCTAGATTCAAACTTAATTAAATTGAAGCGTGAGCTTAATACAACATACTGCATATTCATCAATATTTTTTAATCATTCAACTATATTTAAACACCAATTTTATTTTTATTATTATTATTTTTAATATGTTGTTAATAATATGGTATCTAAACTAAATTATATAGTGTTTTAAATTTGCTACACAATTAATTTACCATAAACCATTTACTGCCAAATAAATCAAAATTCAAATGAATAAACTTAATTAACCCAAAATTTGATAGTAATATTAAATTTCCCATACAATAGATTTAATAGAAAACCAAAACTGAAAAACAAATCAAATGAATAAGCTTAATCAATTCAACAAATTTGTTTGTAACGTTAAAAGGAAATAAAAGCTCACTGGATCCAACACTTAATTATAAAAATTTTAAAAACTAATGACTACACGTTTAAAACACGTTGGACTACTCTTTCATGGCTACACCAAATCTTTTCCTTCCAGAATATGAAATTTATGTTAAAATTCAAGACAAATTAGCAGCAAAACATCAGAAGAATAGCAGTAAAACAGCAGGAAACAACAAGAGAACAGCAGGAAAAACAGCAACGATACTGCAGTGAAACAGCAACGATACAACAACGTCAAGGTGTGCAAAAACACTGTCCTTAAGATCAGAATTTCACCCCTACTAGAAGAATCTTCATGATGCAAAAAGACTCAACAGTGGACTGACTTCCAAGATACAATGACGAACTTTTAGTTAAAGTGCACTCTTTAACAAAAGCTTAGAACAGTATGAGGCAACGTAGAAGTGAAGGAAAGCTGATAGAATAAAGATCCAAAAGTAAAAGTGGATTCTATTGAGTGGAAAGATTGTGCCTCAAAAGCGAATAAACACCCATTTTTATACTTGGCAATCCATTCATAACAGCCCAACTTTTACTTCTGTAACAACCCTTATAATTGCCACCATTAAACTCCAAATTAATACAAGAAACTACCATGCTTTGAATTGCAGTGACCGAAGCAATTTGCTTTCAAATAAAACAAAAAATTGCAATTACTTTTAATTGCATAACAGTCCAAACAATTGGTATTTTGAAATACCAATAACTGCCCAGCTTTTATAACAATCCCCCACATATTTCAAAATAACCAATCACCACTGATTATAGAATTTAATGTTTATGAGTTGGTGCCTTTCGGACTATGAACCAATCATTGAGTAACTAAACGTGAGTTACAGAAATTTGGTGAAACTAAGTTTCTATGAACCAAAAATATCTTTATGTAATTTAGAGGTTGTGTCTGCTATCATATGGTTAGTAGCTTCTGAGTCCACATACCAAGTTTGATCAGTGAGTGTTTGTGGAGTGGCAATAGATGGACTGGAAGAATTTCCAACTTTAGAAGCTGATGAGCCAACAGAAGCAGAATTTGTCAAGGAGGAAGTAACATGTGAGATGCATTAGATAGCTGATGAAGAGTGATGGGATATTGCTGTGAACCTCCAAATTGAGCATGTGAGATTCCAAGAAACTCTGTTCCTCACACTAAATTCTCTGCATTGTATATTGTTTTGCGGTTTGACACTTTATGGCCTTGTGCTAGCCTAGATTTCATGAGTGCTCTAGAGATGCCTGCCTAAGCTCTCATAGGAATCTACCCAATTCCACAATCACATAGGTGAACCTCCATAAGGTGTTAATTGCAGTTTTTCACACCACTATTTATGTTGGCTATGGATTTCATTAAGAGTAATTTTACTCAACCTTATTCACTGCAATCAGTATTATCTCACCATAGGGAGGACTCTTTATAGATAAAATTCGATAATACTTATCAAGATAACAAGTGACTTCTTATTACCCTTATGAACCTACTTCATGGGATCTCCAATCACAAAGGTAGGGTTACCATCACTCTTGCCTTATGCTTTAGGCATAAGTCCCATCTCCCTCGACCTGTATTCCACTAACCTCCTACTTTGTGGTTTAGTCAGAGGATTGGCCAAATTTAACTTTGACTTCACAAAGTCTAGGCTCACTACCCCAGATTCTAGCAGCTGCTTTATAATGGTATGTCTTATCCGGATATGTCTGTTTTTCCTATTATAAATTTTGCTCTTTGCTCTCGTTATTGATGCCTGACAATCACAATGGATTGATACTGAAACATGATGGTGAGTTTCAATAGGAAGATCTGCTAATAGATTCCTTAACCACTCAGCCTCGAAACATGCCTTTTCTAAGGCGATAAGCTCAAACTCCATGGTAGATCGAGCTATGCAAGTTTGTTTGGAAGACTTCCATGACATAGCACCTCCACCAAGTGTAAAGATATAACCACTTGTGGATTTTATTTCATTTGAATCTGATATCCAATTGGTATCGGAATATCCTTCTAATACAGGTGGTGTACTTCCAAACGTTAGCCCATAATCAATGGTGCCCTTCAA